GCAATGGCTGGATGTACAAAAAGGGAATCCATTTCACCTTGATGCTAAGACCATTTTTACAGGGCCTGAGGATCAGGTGTTGGATCCAAAAGGGAATATTTCTGTCTAGTAGATAGCTTTTTCCCCCCGCCAGGAACAGGGACTAAGAGCAGGGAGTTTCTTTGTTTTGTATTTTCTTCTTTCAATGAACTCTTCCCTAGGGCCTCACACTCACCTCCTGACTCACAGGAGAAAGAGGGAGGCTCCTGACCCTGGGAGGTCATAGGTGAGGTGGGACAGCTCCAGAGAGGGGATGAGAGGCGCCCAGGGAGACTGGCATCCACCTTCTGCGCTTAGAGGAGGGGCAGGGGCTCTGATACCAGGGAGCTTAGACCCTGGACCCCTCCAGCTACCCCAGCTGTCCTGGGTAAGACAGGCGGCCTCTCAGCATATTGACTGGGGTGTGAATGTGCCGAGGGTTCCCCCATCCACTCAGAGTAGACATTTCAAGGACATTTCACATGCTGATTTGAAGCTGGGTGCGTGTTTGGTGCACACCTGCAACCCTAGCATCGCAGCCTTTGGGAGGCTGCGGCAGGAGGATCCCTACAAGTTCAAGGCCAGTCTGAACTATATAGCAAGATGCTGCCTCAAAGCAAAACAAAAGAAATCTTGAGGCTACACTTAAACACTAGATTTTAGGTTTCTCTTAAGTAAAATCAGAAAGGTAGCTGCTTATGGTGGCACAGGTCTGTAATCCCAGCACTTGGGAGGCTGGGAAGCAGGAGGATTGCAAATTCAAACCCAGCCTGGGCAATTTAGTGGGATGGGTCTCGAAATAAAAAATAAAAAAGGGCTGAGGATGTAGCCCAGTGCGAAGGCCCTGATTCAATCCCCAGGAGCACAGGGGGGAAAAAATAAAGGCCTAGAGCCACGGAGGCACTTTCCTGGGTGACCACAGCTTCTGAAACAAACCTGATTGTCCAGGATGCATGTCGCAGGGGGAGCAGGACTCAGGTTGCAGACTTCCCCCGCAGGGCTGTGTCCCTGCAGGTCTCCTGTCCCTACCTGTGGTCTCTTGGGGAGCTCAGGCTCCTTGGCACTGATTCTAGGATGTCGGCACCCCCTGCAGGTGTTGCCGGGGACACCACCTTCGATCCACCTCCCTTGGGGACCCATCCCGATTGCAGCCTGCAGGCAAGCAGCGACACTCCTGCCAGGTGACTCCAGCCCCTCCAATCCCGCGGTGCCCAGGATGGGGGTGGGTAGCAGGCTGGGGGTTTGAGGGTGGCTGGCTGGGTCTTCTGCACCAAGCCCGAGGCCACATTGGGGAATGTGTGTATGGCGCGGCATTGGCAGAAGGCCTAGGGGCCCGGCCCCTGCCCTGGCATGGCCTGGCCGGTCTGGGGCAGAGGTTCTGGGGCCTGCACTTGGCCGACACCCTCTCTGGGGAAAGAACGCTTCCTGAGCCAGCATCCCCTTTCTCTGTTGCCATGGTCACCCCTGTCTTGTGCTTCTTTCCCTGCAGCGCGGGCCCCACCCTGAGCCCCCTGGTGGGATCCCCAACCAGCCACAGGCCGGCTGTCTCCACCAGCGCCCCGGTGTCCCTCTCCTCCACAGGGAAGCCCATTCTGGATCCAGGTAACCCTTGCTCAGGGGTCGGGAGCTGCCTGTGGGTGTGGGTGTGGGTGGGGTGGGGAGGCAAGGTTGACCCGAGGCTCCTGCCTTCTCCAGTTAGAACAGTGGCTTCGTCGCTTGCTGGTG